TTTTTTTACTTTAAACCGCATAAACACATTTCATTACACCAAATACACAACATAATGTTATTTTTAGCAACATCACATGACCCCTTTAAATCATAAAAATTAAAACAATTTTTAAAATAACATCAATCAAAATAAAACACTTACTAAAAAATGTAAGTAATTTATTTGTTTACCTGCATGTCATGTGACCATTAACTGTGAACATGCAATTGTGATACTTAATTATTAAAATATTTATTTTAAAATCTCAGGTGTACTTTAAGTAAATATATTAGGTGAAAGAGGTTTAGCTGACAAAACATTTTTGGGAATCCCTGCATTACATGTAAATAAGAAATAACGTGAATTTGTGCATTTTAATGTGTTTGAAAGACAAAAGCCCATTAACCAGTGTCACAGAACTGTGAACATGCAAATGTGATCATGATTAAAATATTTATTTTAAAATGTCTGGGGTACTTCTAGTAAATATATTAGGTGAAAGAGGTTCAGATGACAAAAAAGTTTGGGAATCCCTGCATTACATGTAAATAAGAAATAACGTGAATTTGTGCATTTTAATGTGTTTGAAAGACAAAAGCCTTACAAAGACAAAGTAATACATGGTTAAATAACCACCGGAGTGATAATTCAAATAAAAATTAATATGTTCATTAGTAGTTGATGCAACGTTGAAACACTTCTTAAACCTGAAAAGATTTTTTTGTAAATCCAGTGGCATAGCCTCCTGACTAGTGACTGGTCTTTGTGTGAAAATCCACAAAACTGGAAGACTTTCTGAATGTATAATCGGTAGGATATTATAGAAAGGAACATTTAAAAAGAGGAATTAGGGAGAATCAATAAAATATGAATTATTTATTGCTACTGTGTGAATAATATGTAATCATGTAATCAATAAAAAAGTAAAACTAGTCTGATTACGAGTATTTTAAAATATAATTTAATCTAATTACAAGTATTTTTGGAATCTGATTACTCAATCCAGATTACCTGTAATCAGCTACTACCAGCGCTGACTGCAAATAAATAAATAAATAGGTCAGTAATGGTGCAAGGAATCCTATTTTCACGATTTTCACTTTTGTGCTGTAAAAAAAGACAAATGATCAAATGTTCACATTTATTTACTTCGCCACTGAACACATTGGATGGCACATCTTCCTGCACGTGCTACAGTCAGCTCTAGATTATAATTTAGCAGTACACGCATGTTTACAAGCGAGTCTACTCTCATCTCCTCTAGTGTATGATCATAAAAATTATATTGTGATATTTATTTGTTGCCGCTTACCAGTGGGTTCTTTTGGTCTCTTTGTGTAGTGAAAGGTGATACATTTTGTTACACTGTTGTTGATGATTTGTTCATGCAGCGGCTCAGCCATTGGCTGGTTCACAGGTCACTCAAACGCTCGAAGTAAGTTGCAGTAAAGTCGAGGAAGGAAGTAATTTGTGAATGCATTGGGACGGTGAGCTGGAACTCGCCATATCTTGGAAAGATTCCTCGTTTTTGTTTTTTAGAGTGATTGCATAGTTCGTCTTGGATCAGAATGGAGGGGCGACACGATAGTTCACCCATGCAGGCTTTCGATAAGGACGTTTTGGAAATGACTTGTGAAGATGTTTATGACATTTCTTACGTGATCGGCAGAGATTTATTAAAAGTCAACACAGGTAGCCGGGAGTTCTCGGATTTACAGTTCAAAATCGTCCGTGTGTTGGAGATGTTTGAGACCATGGTGAACAAATACAACCTGTCGCTGGAGGAGCTGAGGATGGAGCTGGAGAATATGAAGCGAGAAATGGAAAGAGTTGTAGCAGAAGGTTCGAGTGGTGATGTTAACACTGTGAGTGGGGTCATGTAGAGTTCACTGTATATGATAATCCTTGATGTTGTTCACATTCGGTTCTGTTTAAAGGAATATTTCCAGTTCAATACAAGTTAAGCTCAGTCGACAGCATTTATAGCGTAATGTTGATTATCACACAAATAATTTCGACTTTTTTCTTAAAAAAGGAGGTGATAACGAGGCACAAAAGCGAGTGGGGGTCGATTTTGGGAGAACTTAAAGGAATTGTCCACCCAAAAATGAAAATATACTCCTCAGGCCATCTAAGATGTAGATGAGTTTGTGTCTTCATCAGATTTGGATCACTTGCTCAGCAATGGATGCTCTGCAGTGAATGGGTGCCATCAGAATGAGAGTCCAAACAGCTGATAAAAACATCACAATAATCCACACCACTCCAGTCCATCAGTTAACATCATTTTGGGGTGAACACTTCCTATAAAAGCACAAATATGAAATTTAGAAGCACTTACAATAATTGTTCTGTTAAAACGTCTGTATTACTTGAGCTGTAAAGCTGGTTAAATCGTAATTTTTGCAGTCGTTTTAGGGTTTATTATTGTGACGTCTGTGTACTATTGAAATGGAGTCGTTTAAAGATGGGCCCTATTTACTTCCATTCTAAACACCTCACTGTAACCCATATTTTTGCTTTTTATACATAAAGAAAAGAAGGGATGAGTGGTAATCATTATGCCACAAATGCTGTCAATATATTCCTTTACCACACTATGTATATGGTTTATGAGCAGAACCCAAAGTGGGAACCCCAAAAAGGCATCTAGAGTTAAAGTAGGCATGCGAATCAAAATTGACCCTATGTATTTTCTTGATGCATGTTAATGGTCTTGTAGCCTTGTAACAAGTGAAACTGAATATTTGACTTATTTAAAAACTTGACAGCAAAGGTTTCTTGATTTAAAAAGTCACAATCTATTTCCAGTTTGTGCAAACACTTATATATACAAATTGTATTGTTTAATAGCAGACTGTTGGGCCAAACAAACTAGTCGTGGACTTAAAAGACCCAAACCGACCCCGATTCACCATGCAGGAGTTAAAGGAGGTTCTGCAGGAGAGAAACAAACTCAAAGCCCAGCTGCTGGTGGCCCAAGAGGAGCTACAGCTCTACAAGAGGTAAAAACAGGGTTGCAGAGGGTGTCACCATAGAGTTACTATATATTCATAAATGGCTGTGTTTCTGTGTTATTTCATTATACAGCATGTTGTGTGCAAATTGTGAATAACATGGAAGTCTACTCGCGTTGTTAAACCTGTTATATCTTTCTTCTGTGGGACACAAAAGAAGATATTTTGAAAATTGTGTCCGTGTCCATTGAGTCCAGTGTTCGTCAAAATATCTTGCTGTGTGTTCTGCAGAACAAAACATGTTATGTATATGGCTCGGATTTATTAGGTGAGCTATCCCTTTAATACTACTGTCAACTAGCAAGAAATAATTTACAGGGAAGTTATGAACTATGTATTATACAAGTGTGACTTGTGTGCTGGTTTGGCCTAATCTCAACAGCAAATAAAACAATTCTGAGTGAAACGACATCATGCAATAATGAATTTGATATGTGTGGTCTCAGTCAGATTTAGCGTCTGCTGTGCTTGCAGTGGGGTCCTGGGATCAGAGCAGAAGATGGTGGAAGTAAACCTGGAGACCCTTCCTCAGTCAGAAGCGGCACCGTCCAGCGTTATAGAGGAGAACAAAGAGAAGAGCACCATTCAGAAACTGTGAGAGCTTTTAACTAGTTTTGTCTTTGCCTGAGCTTTGTGCATTTCCACATCAGTCCTTATACTTGTGTTCATTCATCCGAAAGTAGGAGAAAAAATGGCTGATGTACCGTTTTAATTGTAATAATGTTAAATCAACTAAGTTTCAGTTCAAATATAACATTTAGAAATTACATCATATTTAAAGGCACAATATGTAAGATTTTTTTATTAAAATAACCAAAAACCACTAGAACAGTGTTATATATTTTGCTGACTTGTGTACTTACATTATCCCAAATGTTTCGAAGAATGTTTAAATCCAGAGAAATAAGCAATTTTAACAAACTACGCCTTTTGCGCTTTGTTTATTTTGAATACGCGCCCTCTAGCGGCGAAAATTACATATTGTGCCTTTAAGACTCTTTTTGACAATTAATTTTTGGGGGCAAATGGAACAGTCAGATTTAATGGAGCCAAGTAGCTGTCCCATCAAGATATCAGATACACCAGCAGTGAAAAGTTTGGAATAATTACGTTTTTTAATGTTTTTGAAAGAAGTCTCTTATGCACCAAATCAGCATATTAGAATGATTTCTGAAGGATCATGCGACACTGAAGACTGGAGTAATGATGCTGGAAATTCAGCGTTGATTGCAGGAATAAATTAAATTTTACAATATATTCAAATAGAAAAGTTGAATTTGAATCATATTTGATAGTATTACTGTTTTTTTTTTGATCAAATAAATGTAGCTTGGTGAGCAGAAGAGACTTCTTTCAAAAACATTGAAAAATTGTATTTCTTACAAACTTTCGACAGGTAGTGTAAAAGTTACTTAAAATGCATATGCCAGTATTGTAAAGCAGGAGTGCGTACCTGTAAACTAGAGCCCGACCGATATGGGTTTTTTGGGGCCGATACTGATACCGATATTAGGGAGTAAAAAAAAAAGTCTGATACCGATATATCGGCCGATATTCTTTGTGTATATTATAGTACAGTACCAGTCAAAAGTTTGGACACTTTCCCATTCGTGTGTCCAAACATTTGACTGGTACTATATATAGAATACAGTATACATTAGAATATATATACATAAACACATTTTTTGCAATGATCACTCAAATGTGGTGATCAAACACTTATAATGACGTGACAGAGATATGTAAGGGCATTTAACAATTTAACAATAAAGCGATGAGTGCGATGCACAAAGTAATGGGGTGTTAGTTGTAACACACGTGGTTTGAATATTTATTTTACCATAGTAACATTTAAATTCTGGCTTAAGTAAATTTTTTATCTCAGTTTTTATTATTCATTTAAAATGAGACAAATCTGCTATTATTTTAATCTCCAATCTGTTATTTATCAGTTCAGATAGTTTTTTAATGCTTTGATAACTAGCAGAAGACACTAACCAGTTTTAAATTCCAGTTGCGCAGATGGCGCACGTTGTAACACTGCGTTACAATGTGCTATTCTATGACATTAGCAATGTAATTTACACTATTTACTTTAATTAATTTTAATGAGAAACAACGAGAAACAGGTGAATAAAGACTGACAGTCAATGTTTAATATTTAGAAATTATTATTTCAAGACATGTAAAGCATTTTTGCTCGTTTATGTGGGCCGTCCCAAGCATGGTTGCAATGTGTTCATTGTCAAACTCCAAAGATCAAGCGATCCCGGGGGGCTACCGACGCGCGGAGGGTGGCATTCGAGAGGACTCCTCGAGCTGAAGGGATCCCCCGAATTTGGTGCGGATTCGCCGCGCCGTTACGGAGATATGGCCGTTCAAAGTTTCAATGGTTTTCCATTGACTTAAGCTTTAAAGCGTTTCATCCAGGTCGCCAGTAGCAAACAATGGAGCGCGCTCTGCTGGACAAACTAAGTAATTATAACATTTCAAGCATTTTATGCATTATATGTTCTGTAAAAAAAAAATTTCATATCGGCGGCATATTCGCCGATACCGATATATCGGCGACAGGCTCATATCGGCCGATAATATCGGCAAAACGATATATCAGTTGGGCTCTACTGTAAACCCGCCGTGTCTTGTTGAAATTCTGTTCCTTTATTCATTTATTGAAGACTCATGTGAGCAGTAGTGGGAAGGTGAAGCAGGTTTGGAGTCTACCCTTCTATCTTGAGTTATACATTTGTCAAAATCATAAAATGAATATTGTTTCAAAGCAGCTTTACAGAGATATGTGTTTCAATGTCAATAGCTTCACAAGAAGTGTGCTCTAATGTCTTTGAGCGTCCAGTGAGCAAGCTAAAAATGGCTGTGGCAAGGAAAATCTCCTTACCAAAGATGTAATAAAAGATATTTAGTTATTGGATTGAATTTAACTTTTTAAACTTGCTACAGTGCCTTCCACCAGTATTGCCACCATTGAGAAATACGAGCAAAACAGACCATGGAAAATGTCATTTTCCTTTTGTGTTCCTTGTTCTTATCATCATCATTTTGGTCATTCATTAAAAATCATCACAAAATTATAAGTTCACAGAATTCTCATGAATAATAATACAAAAAAAAAAAAAAAGTGAAATAATTGAAATGATTGAAATTCTTATCCAGAGAGTGTAAACTTTTAGAAATTTTAACCTCCATCTCTTTATGCATCATGTTTCCTTCTTGAGCATCAGTGAATGCTTGCACCTTTGTTGAAGATGTTTATGACATTTCTTTAGTGATTGGCAGAGATTTATTAAAGCTGACTCAGGTGCTCGGTAAACGTATGTCCACAACTGTGCATTAAGCCACGCTACCTTTTTTCCCTACAAACGTCTTGCTCTAAAGAAGAATGCTGTTTTAGATTTTGTATAGCTCTTTGCTACACTGACCGTATTTTTGGACTCATTGTGTTGCTTCCATCTTGCTGACAAACTGCGCCCTCGCTCTCTTTTTCAGATTCTCGTTTCGACAAAAATAGTGGCCAGGATTTGGTACAAGCTAAAACACATTTGAGACAAGCAAAGCCCCTTCCAACAGACTGAGAGATGGGAAGAAGTGATCTCACTATTTATTTATTTTTTAACAATACTGACCCATTTGTGGCTGGAAATCCTCCTACTCAGTGTTTTTAATTGTGTACATTTTTAACTCGTGTTGTGTGTGAAGCCAAACAACTAGATGTTAGAAACTCAAATGTCTCTCTAAACACCTCTAGTAGCTACTACACATTTGCAGACTATTTGAAGCATACTAGATCAACATTAACATTCTTCCATTACCACAGTATCTTTTACTGAAATATTATATGACATTACTAGAATCAATTTTATATCAGTCATTTTATGAATAGCACAAAGACATATTTAAGTACTATTTTGGTGACAGTACTAAACCTAATTAAATCTGCTGAAACTTACATTATTGATATATTATTATTATTATTGATGACTATTATATTATATATATTGATTTATATGTATATATACGTCATATGAGGCTCTAAGATCTTATCTGAGTGCTTACAGAATTAGAAAACCTCTTCAGTCTGTATCGGTTGCAACGGCTGACAAGCTTTAGGACAAAACTGGCCATATGATTTAGCACTTTCTAGTTCTAATTTTAATAAACAAGGGAACATTAGGAATTGTAGGGTTAAAATTTAGGTACTTCAATAACTAAAACATGAAAAAGTCTGCTGTACGAGGTAATGTGTAGTGCACTGAATCTTATGTGAAGTGGTAAATTGTGGGTCATATGAAGGTAAAAATTCACTTTTATTGGCTCGCAGTATTAGCTGTAATCAAGTAGACTGGACAAATTTTATGACAGCCGAGTCAAGTTTTCTTCTGCAATACCAGGTATTAAGAAACGCTGTTCTGAGTACATGGGCCCTGTTGTTCACACATAGATTACGGAGTTAACTGGATTTAACACAGTTGCATAACATAACATGCATGAGATTGTATTATTCAAATTGTTAAACATTTGGCCCTCTTACACAAGTTCTCTTTCATTTTCCTTGTTGGATCTGAAAATCAAAAATCTTCAACTTTCACCCAGCTATTATTTCTTTGTTTTTATAAGGACTTGTATTACTTCTTGTTAGGCATGTGAAGAATCGTGTATATATATAAAGTTTTTTTGAGTCCGAGTTCTGATCTGGTGTGTTTTTTTCCCCATATTTGTTTGTATTGTATGTTTCCTATGTAATGTTATGTTTGAAATGCAATTGAAATCTTGTCACAATTATTATTTTTTTTTGTTTGTTTTTTTTTGTGTAAAGTTTCTATATTTTTCCTATTTAAAACTTGACTCTTCTGTAGTTACATCGTATACCAAGACCGAAGGAAAATGAAAAGTTGGGATTTTCTAGGCCGTTATGGCTAGGAACTATACTCTCATTCCAGCGTAATAATCAAGGAACTTTGCTGCCGTACCATGGGTGCAGCAGGCGC